TTAAACAGCCTTCGCTTCCTTCCTTTTAATGTTTTTCACTTTTCTATCATTATAGGAGATATCTCCCTCAATTTGTCCAACGTCAGGATTGTTTGAGAATTGATTTAGGATTGGGCACTCTGAAATAATGTCTCCTTGGCTTAGGGACTAGACATCAGCGCACTCCTACCTGCTGGTTCTGGACAAGAATTGCACTCCAGGTTACTCCGACCTTGAGCAAAACAGGCAGATTTTTTGTATTCTGACGGCAAGCACTAACCAAGTTCAGCAAGCAGCTGGGGGTTGGGCATGCTGTCCAGGTAGGGGCATCTGGGCCACCCGTCAGCAATTTCTACCAGTCATAAAGGCAAGGAGTGTTCTGATCTTGAATAATCCAGCTGCAAAACACCTTTGAAACTCTGGGGCAGTCAAAGGTAGTGGAAAGAATCTACTCAAGTTAGCACCGCCTTGCGAGGGTATTTCTGAGGAAGCCTTCTCCAGCAGGATAGCCTCCAAGCTGCTCCGCCACAGAGAGTCATCAAAAAGACAGATGACCCACGTCTGACAGCTCCCATTGGTGGCTCTGTCTCAGGTCTCTCTGTAATAACCGATTCTAAGTCATTGCTCTGTTTAGCTAGGAGAGGTCAGCCTTTCCGCACTGATCAGCTTGCTGCAGGCCTGCTAGTCGTAAAATGTGTTCCGTTATGTACATACCTGTAGACACCCTCCACCAGGATGAGAATCTTTTTCCAAGCTCTGCGGGTTCGAGGCTGGCCATAGATGACAGCATCTCTCAGGAGCTTCTCTAGGCTTTGTGTGTCTTTAAATAATACCAAAAAAGAAATTCAGTCATGAAAGGACTTACTTTTCCTTTTCTACTTTCTTTTTCCAGATGTTTTATGTTTACACTCAGACCTAATCTTCCAGAGAACAAATTCAGAATCAGAGAACCCTTAGGGAGAGAGACAGAGAGGTCTATTTTTCAGTAGAACTTAACTCTGACAAGACAAATAGCCGGATTTCTACAAGTAGGCAGAGTAAACTCTCACCAGTGGGGCATGGTTTCCTAGGCTCTTAAAGGCTCTCCCTGCCTGCCTTAGAGAGATTGAAATTCTACGTTAAATGCATCTCTTAGGTCTAAGCTTTGTTGCAGGCTGAAATGAACTCCGAGAGACATAATTAATACCACTCATCAATCGTTTAGACACGAGCGTGTTAGAGTTTAGCTGAGTTTGCACGGATCTCACTTCCTACCCTTTGAGACTTGATTTCTGACATCCCCCAATCTTAGAAGTTCCAAAACTTTAGCAGTGGGACAATGAAGCCTCTTTTTCAAAATATTTGGAGATCTCTGAACACAATAATAGCTGGCAGTTATTGAGCCCTATCTGTGTGCCAGTCACCCTTCTAAGCTCAGTTTTTGTCATACCTCATTTAATCCTCAGAAGAACCATCTGAAGGAAGTACTAGTAGCGTTTCCATTCTACGGTTCAGGAACTGAGGCATACAGGAGTTAACTGCCTGAGGTCTATCATAAGCAACAGAATCAGGATTTGAATCCATGTAGTCTGTACCATATCCACATTTGTAACACTACCCTTTGCTGCCTTATGTGGAAGCCATTGTCCCTGCTTCTCAAATGAAACGATGATGTAGAACAAGAGAGGATGAATGTTTGGCAGAATAATCTTGTTAACTTCTAATGTCAAATATAATCAATAGTGACATTTCATTTATCTGCAATCAGATGTAGATGACTGGGCTTGGGTTGAGAGGTCATTTAGAAGAACTTGCCTACCAACCTAGCTGTTTGGTATGTATGTGTGTGTGTGTGTTATTTTGTTTTTAACTTTCGAGCCTAGCAAGAAAAAAATGGCCGAGGCTTATGGGCATACTTTTAAGGCTGATTATATTTCTACTGTGTATTTTTTTGCATTTCCTGAGCTTTCCCTTTTTTGAGAATCTGAAACTGAAATACTTTAGGTCCAGAATCCAATCTTAATTTTAAAAGATGGAGATGCTACTTAACTGCTGGCTTGACTATTATGCAATGTTCACCAGGCATTAGAGACACCATTTAAAATGCTCACAAAAGATGACATCTAGCAAAGATAAATCTTTGAAGTCAGGAGTTCGGGACCAGCCTGGCCAACATGGTGAAACCCACTCTCTACTAAAAATACAAAAAATTAGGTGGGTATGGTGGTGGGTGCCTGTAATCCCAGCTACTCGGGAGGCTGAGGCAGGAGAATTGCTTGAAACCAGGAGACGGATGTTGCAGTGAGCCGAGATTGCACCGCTGCGCTTCAGCCTAGGTGACAGAGTGAGACTCTGTCTCAAAGTGAAAAAAAAGTTAAATCTAAAGCTGCATACTGGTTTTGACCACGATAGACAAAGCTCTCAAGAAGCAGATGTGCATTGGCTTATCACTCACTGGTCTAGGCTCAAATTAGCTGCAGTTCTTGGTCTCAATGGAGAACCCTTCAACTTTGTCTTTGAGTCTCCAGTCTGTGCTTGGATCTGTTTTAGGGCTTCCCCCAAAGCTGCGTGAATGCACTAACTTTTAGTGGGTGCATTAACTTTTCCATACTGCAACCCTGCCACACTCAATGAGGCCATAAGATAGTTCTTTGAAATAGAGTTGTGAATATATTTGTGTGTGTGTTTTTTTAAATTATCAAGTACATTTAAGCAAACCATATTTAAATAAAGGTGCCTTCCTATGAATTGGAGTGGGATAGGACAAGTCAGAATTTGACTGCAATATGAGAACCTCAACTCTGAGAGGCCCCTGTTAGTGTGGCACCTTCCAAGCTGTCGTCAGCATCCACCCACTAGAGACTGGATATTGGGTCCTGAAATTCAGAAAAAGCGTGTGACATGAATAAGATGCTGCATACTAGCAAGATCTCTTGGGAATCCAAACAGCAGTGTTAATACACCATTTGATTTCCTTTAACCTCCTTAAGAAAACATCATATAAATAATGGAAAAATAAAGGAAATACATAATGAAACAATGAAGAATTAAGGGAATAATTCTTTATTCAAATATATAATGCCTTAGGTATTAGATACAGTATGCTATCAGTATGCTACCAATAATATTTGGCATGATATCAGAACCAACAGATACAAAAAAAGGTCATTTTCCTTTCTTTAATCATTAGCCAGAAACTAACTTTTTAGGTGCTATGTAAGTTTAAATGTGGAATTAATCAATTTCACCAAGACCATAAGGACCTGTGAAAGAAGAAATGGAAGAATGGTGGATCTTTTTTTTTGTTTCATGCCACTTTCCTTTTCTTTCTTCTTTTTTTTTTTTTTTTCTTTTCATCTGCAAAACAGGCCTCATGATATCCTGGCATCACTATTGTATTCTTTTCACATAATATTCCCTAATTGAAAAATTTACAGGGCTTTCCTCAGTTCTTGTTTTACTTGACCTGTGGGCAGCATTTGACAGAATTCAACACACACTTATCTTTTAAGCTTCTTCCCTCGGCCATCTGGACACCATTTTTCATTGGTTTTTCTTATTCCTTTTCCCACTATTTCTAGTATTCTTCGTGAGCACTATTTCCTCTTTTAACCCATTTTCCTTTTATGTTTCTTCCTTGACTTTTTTTTTCTATTTTCTCATTAATCTTCCAGTGGTTCCCAACCTTCAGGATGAATAGAAATAATCATCTGGGTAACCAGTTAAAATGCAGATTCTCGAAATTTCTACTCAGAGATTTTGAATCAGTTGGTGTGGGACAGGACCCAAGACGTTTGCACGCACAGTGTCCCTGGGGTCTGGAACTCATAACACAAAGCGAGACCTCTACTTTGATTGATATAGTGTTTTTCTAACCATTTTTTAGACAAATATGGGAACCTCAAACCCATTTCCAAGATAGAACTTGCTGCAGACTACATTATTGGCCCCATTTGCCACCTCATTTGAGTTCCTCCTTCTGTGACTTTGCAGTCCTTCCCTCTCACCGGTGGAGAAAGTTTCCCTGCCCCTTGGCTTGGGTTCAGCTAAGTAACTTGCTTTGGCTAACGGAATACAGAGAAGAGACAGTTTGCTAGTTCCAAACCTAGATCTAAAGAGGTCGTTTGCATTTCTACTCTTTCTCTTGTGCTTCTGCTAGTGACAGAAAAAGAAAACGCCCAGGCTAGACCCCGGTCTCAGGTTGGCCCTGGGAAAGGATTAATGGCACATAAGGCACGGTTACCTCAGCTCACCAGCAGTCTCCAGTGAGAAATATGTGCTGATTATTATTGGCCACTGAGGTTTGTTCCAATAATAGTTGCCTAATACTATTAGGGAATGGCCCTTCCTGATCTAGCCTCTGCCTGTCTTTTTGACATAGTTTGTCAACATCCCCCAACACACAGCCTCCTGATTCTCCTCCATGCTTTTTTTCCTCTTGTCTGTCTGGAGAGTGCTCACCCATCACTCAAGTCTTAACCCAAACTCTTCTCGTCAATAACACAGAACAGAGTTAAGGACTTCCTCCTTGGTGTCCTTCTCAACTTTGTCTGTTCTTTTTTAAGCACTCATCACGATGTTTGTTTTTTGCTTTCATCTCTCTCTTCCCTGAAAGCAGGGACCTCGTCCTCATCCTTCTCGCCCTAGTCTTAGGACACAGTACTAGGCTTAATCATTATCTAATGATTGCATCAATGTTCTTTTCCTGGAGAAAGAACGTAGACTAGGAGACAGGCAAGGAAATGCCACTTGTGGATCTAAATAAGAATTATTAGAAAAGATAAATGTCTCCTACCTGCAATATATTTTAAAAAATTGATGGTATCTTTTGTTTTGTTTTAAACACGAGCAGATAGATATTTTTTGAATGTTCCCAAGAACGTGTTTTAGTGTATATTATTAACCACCAGATGGCAGCCAAAGAAACAAAAAGCGGCTTTCTTGTTTTAAAATGTTCAGTTAATAAACTTTCACCTATTTAGATATCTTCTTTTCACTTTTGTTTAGGCAGAGTTCCTAAAATACTGAAGAAAACCTTGCGACTTGGTTCAGAACCGGTCTTCTTTTCCTATAATCTTTTATTTATTATGTCTATAATCTTTTATACTATTATTCATCATCTATAACCAAAGTTTCTGAATGGAATAGAGATGGTGAATAAAAGTATTTCTGTTAAGAATGTTTTCCCTTCCGGGACTTGGAATTTATAAGTTTTTGTGCAGAAATGCTACATGGTATATGTGACTCCAATGCCATTGGAGTAAAAACTAAACCCAAGTGAAGTACATTAGTAGTCATTTCAAAATGAATATTCTAAGATTTGGAAAAAAATATGTAAATTTAGAGGCTACTGTGTTGTTTTTGCACCAAAAAGGTCACATACACACGATGGATTAATCCAGAATTTAAAAATGAATACCACGAGTCCTGAAGAGAAGCTTTTCTCCATTTTTAAAAATAACACGCAAGACATGAAATCAAGCCTTTCAGTGGCCGCGCTGTGTTTTATACATTTCACAGAGGGAAGCAAGAGGAATCTCTGTGTTTTCCAAGGCAAGGACTTCATTGTGTTTGACTCGAATGGAGATTTCCATGGGAGTGGTTTTTGGTGGAGTTCACAGCACCCCCAGGGTCAACACACCAGGATTCTTGAGCAGAAGGAAAATCAATTAGCGTTTTTTTTTTCTCTCCTGCGAGGGATGAACTCTCCGACCTCTTAGAATCACAGAAGCTACACAGGAAAAGGGAAGACTGTGCTCCGCCTGGATTCTGGCCCCACCTTAGCCCCTGGTATGTTCCTCTCTTATTCTCTGTAGTTCTACAGGGCTACAGTGCGTGGGT